TGTGTGTTTTTTTTTTTTTTTTTTTTTTTTTTTTTTTTTTTTTATTGGTTTTGGTGGTGAACTTGTTCTTGGGGTTTGGGTTAAAAAAGAAGTCATATTCATATATAGCTCGTAAGTTTGCTGAGATTTTGAGATTCGCAGGGATTGGAAAAGCAATTCATCAATATCACAAATTTTCCTTCTCAGCGCTGTCTGCCCGTGCCTAGCCAAATCTTTCGTGACTTCTACTTCTTTATTATTTAAACTTTGATTATTGTCAATTAAAACTACAATTTGGTCACATCATAATATCGTGTGCTTTACAAAAGTCCAAACCTTCTGGGTTTAGCCAGCAATCTTAAAAATAAAAATAAAAATAAAAAATGGCAAACTACAATTCGTATTTATCAACTCCACCAAAATTAATTAAATAAATGAAACTCCGAAATGAAGTAAACTATTGTGTTTGTTTTTTTTATAAACAACGATGTTATGAAGAAATTAAGGTGCTAATATGAGTCACCATCTTCAAGAAATGTCACGAAGCGTAGCGCATTTCCCTTGGTGAAAACAACAACTTTGCTTAACACAGTTGTTTTGTCCTCGTCTAGCAATAACACGATTTGTTTGACCCACACATTTCCAACCCAAACTAAACTCCTTTCATTTTCTAGGGTTTTCCATCACCTTGTCTTTCTTACCATTTCTTTACATATCACAAATATATTTTTCTGGGGTTTCTTTTGGTTACATGGCACCAACTTGTTCACCACCCCCACCACTTCTCCACAGTCTAATCCACTACGTACCTATTCGCTTCTGCCTTTTCCTTTTAACATTTTCCCATTTATTTTATTTTTTTAAAAAATAATTTCTCTTGTCTTTCCCTTCCAAGACCACCTAGGTCCTCACTCCATTATCACAAGCCAAGTGGTGTTACCATCAAACTTTCAACGATTTATACCGTGCCATTTTTCTTATCTACAATATTTTAGTATTTCTCGCCATGCGACAACTAATAACCTATGTATTTGCACTTAAGCACATGATTATTTGAATTGTTGACATTAATCCATATCTTATCGTAATTATTAAGAAGAAAAAATACTGCGCGAATCCCATGTGCTTTTTATAAAGATTAGTGACTCGCATTGGTTTGTGCCCTACATATATAGTGAAGTGAACTATCACCTAAACCAACCGAATCACCAATCACGTTCAACAAATATAATAGGATCCTCAGTTGCTTCTCGTGGATGAACGCATTCTCTACGCGTCTTGGCTATATCACTTTTTTTTTTTTTGAAATTCCATAGTGGGGTGGTATAGCTTGTGAAAGATAATAATGTCTACTATACCAAATCCAATTTCTATATATTCTTTCTTGAAATTTCGTACTTGGCTTGATTCACCAAAAAAAAAGAAAAGTGATATGATTAATATAGAAATACATAAGTAAGTAATACTACTGAGACATTGAATTTTAATTTTTTTATAAGTTTTATGGGTTGTTGTGAGGTAATACACCTACCGCGCATGATGTAAGACCGTAAGAAATAAAGCAAAGGTGATGGGCTAGCTGTTATGTTAACTCTTTTTGGGTAATGCATGTAGTCTTGTCGTGCGATGAATAATTCCACTAATTAAACTAAAAAATAAAATAAAAAAGTTGTATAATAGTTTTAATCAAGATTTGAAGAATGGAATAATTATATATGGAGGTGGAAAAGGAGTAGAAGAAATATTAATGGAATTGTCAGTGTTGGTAGGATGGGGTGGTGGTATAATTTATGAGGCAGTGTGCATTGGCTTGCGTTTCTGATGATAATGATAATGGCAGTCACAAGAAGAAGGCAGTGACAGAGGGAGCGCAGAGAGAGAAGGGAAATAAAAAGGGACTCGTGAGAGGTAATGAGGAAACAACATCAAGGTGTGGGTCTCTCTCTCTTTGTATTTCCTGCAAAAGAATCAAACACTAACCCAACCCCTACCCCCTACTTACTACACATTCATTAGTGCCCACAACTTTTTTTTCTTCTTTTCTTTCATTTTCCCTCGCAGGCCCCATGCATATATATGTGCTACCTTCACATTCTCCTACTTAGCTCACTAATTAATTAACTAATCATTCTTTCACTCAACCATTCTAATTTAGTCGGTCACTCTCTAAATAATATGAAAAAACTTTTACACTTTATATATAATTTTAATAAAATTTATCCGATTACACTATATTGAAGAATGGTTCTAGCTGTTGCGTGACCTTGTACACTTTGAATTCACCATCTATATGTATCACCAACTTTGATTGATTAACTAATGATATTAAAAGATTAAAAGAAGCCATTGATGTTCATTTTGCTGTCACCTCATAAGCTATATAGTCAATCCCAATTAACATAAAATTTGTATAAATTCAGTGGCATACATAGATGATGCAAACAGAGAAGATAAATAATGTGCTGAAATGTTTAATTAGTTATTTTAATATTGAACTTGAAGTTTGACACAATCTGAAAAAATAAATTGAGATATATGATGTCCTAACAAATTTGAAAAAAGATAATGTTTTTCCTTATCCAACTTGGGATTTAGATTATGAAACCAGGTCCTTAAAATTTAACTTACATTTCAATGAGAGTGAAGGAAGTATATATAGATTCGGGGCCAAGAAAATTAAATGAATAGAGAAATATTTGGAAACGGCAATTAAGTGGACCACAAAGGAAAAGTTGACCCCATTATATATAGGAGAACAGTGGCATTAGAATTTAATTAAATAATCCAAAATTATGGATCACTTTCGATCGATCTGTTGGCTTCTCAAACGATAAAGAAACCAGTGCAAGGTCCCAAAATCCCAGACCAGAGTGAGTATGGAGCAAAAGCAAGTAGGGTTAACAACAAAATTTACTGAATACCCAAGTGGTCCCCTGATCCAACGGATGGAACCACAGGTACCATATTCATAATAATAGTACTGTGCCCATCACATCGTGCATCACTCTGTTCATTAGCTGAATTCGTTTGTTGACTCGCTTCCACGAAATATTTCCTCATATGCAAACCAATAGGATCTTACCAATATAAGCCACCCTTTGTTTTGCCCTACCCACCACAGACACTTAACCTGTACCCTCATTAACTTCAAACCCTATCTGCACGTTAATTAAGTAATTGTCCTCCTTTTCAATTAACCTACCTAGCTGTACCATTATTCATACTGACTAATTCATTTTGGATGATAAATTCATTATATGTCATCAAAAATTTCAATCCGAACTTTAAGTACCAAATAATTATACATTGGGAAGAAAATTTTTATCTTCTATATGCTCATGATTTAATCAAGATTAATAATTTCTTCTAACACTAAATATTTCATAACAATAAGGGAAAAAGTAATTATTTTGGTTGATTATTGAATGTGAGATAAATTTCATTTATAAGTTATTAAAAAAGCATATATATATATATATACATTAAAACTAATACCATTTATGACTTATGAAAGAGTTAGTCAGGTGAACAACAAATCACAAATTTTAGTCCACACATATATTTTTTCGGATGAGGTAAGATTTTTCGTACTTTTCATTTCAACACCATCCTATGACTTTAAAATTGTATATACCTAGCAAATTAGTGGAATAGAATTAAATTTGCTATATTTTCATTTGAAGACTCCAGATTATGTGTGTTTGGGATTGTACAATCGTGCAGAAAGTTACTTACAATGCCCTTCTTAACTCGATTAGTTAATACATATATTTTTTCCCTTTCTCTTTTCACATAATTTTCGCCCAAATTGTATATTTTTGTGCATGCATGTATATTCTCCAAATAAGATCTAGAAAATGACTACACATAACCGTGTGATTTCTTTACTCAACACCATTACTTTACTCAGAAAACTTATAGCACGGGCAGGAAATTAATTTTACTCCAAATAAAGACAGGCCATGCAGGTAAATAGAATTCGATCTGTAGTGTGGTGAAATAATTTAAAGAAACCAATTAATCTGAACCATATGAAAATTGATTGCCTGCCATACAATTCGAATCGATAAAAGTGGCGGTGTGATGAGGTTGACATTCTCACTTAATTTCAACAATATTGAGATTCATAATATATAGGTAGGTAGTAGAGCTGAAGGTCATATTAATAGTTTAATGCATATAATATAAAGTCAAGAATGAAATAATATGGGTGTGATACAACTATTTATAGAATAATCATAAGTCGATTTTTGTCTAAGTTAATAGTCACATAAAAGTAAGGGAAATGATACTTATATAAAAAATTATACAACTAAGAAAAAGGAGAGAAATTTTAAATATAATTTTTTTTATTAAGTATGCATTAATAATGTAAAATAAATTTACAATATCAACCAATCAAATATCACGATTAGTATGATATTTTAATTTTTAATTATAACATTTTAATTTTTAATTATAATAGTCAACAATTTATACAAATAATAACTTGTGATTAAATGAGAGTACAAAACTCTATTTATACTATCTGTGTATCACCTATCTTTTCATATAATAAATAATGCAATGAAAAAATAAATACAAAAGATAATATACGATGATCATTATTCTATTAATAGGCTTTTAATTTGTTGCTTTTAATAAATTGTTGGTGTTGTCAAGCTTCATTTTTATATTCGCCATCTAACTACAGGCATCAAACCCACCAATGGCTTTTGTTTTTAACATGATGGGCACGTATAAACATAAATAGGTAAGCACATAGAGGGGGAAGGATGAGGTAGAGAGTGGCAATTAATCTCAAGTTCAATTTGTTTTCTCAACTTAATTTAAAATGTTTCGTGGTAAACAAACAAATAATGTGATATATAGTAAGCAAGAATTTGAAAGGAAACACAAGCAAGAGAAAGCGACATGTGCTACAAAGCTAGGATTATTAGCAACCACGACTACGATGCTAAGCCAAACCATTCATATTATAGCAAAATAATGGCTTGGTTATAGCTAGCGACCAAGGAAACCATAAGTTAAGATAACCTTAGCACGAGGCACGACCCATGACCCTTAATTTCTTCTTTGTATTATATGGCTTTGTCCTCACTTAGAAGCAACAAATTAATTGACACTAATTAGTTTCAAATTAATAGTTAGATTCTCTCTCTCTCTCGAAGGTTTCTCTCTATCGTGATCATGGGTTCACGGGGACCATGTAGAGAAGGGAGGTGATGTTAAGGGAAGTATGGTGAGAAGGGAATCAATCAATATGACATGTCATGCCATGTCATGGGTTGGCATATACTTTGGAATGACTGTGGTGTTAATTGGCATTATATTGACTTTGGATGCAAACAAGGGAAGCTGCTATTGCCTTTCAAAGCTGAGGTGCCAATGGAATATATATGTAATTATTTCAATCAGATATCCCCACTTTTAGCTACCTTCTTTGCTTCTTCTTAAGTATGGAGTTCATTAGAAGGAAGGGAGGAAATTGAGTTGTCTCTCCCAAATTAACTTATTTAACTTTATTCTTTTTGTTTCTTCAAGAGAAGGGAAAACAACTTCTAAAAAACTGTGCCAAACATTTGGGTTCTTAATTTAATTATAGTTGTAGAAGCTTAATGGTAATTCTTAGATGTTTGTTTGGATATAGAAAGAAAATACGTAGATAAAAAAATAAGAAAAAAATTTAATCTCATCTTATATTGTTTTAAATAGTAAAAAAAAAAAAAAAGAATACAAACATACTAAACAATATATAATATTTTTATAATGTTACAAAATATAATCAAAATAAGAGAAGTATTTGATATTCCAACTTTAAATTTGGTGGCATAATTAAGATTATTGTATTTAATACATTATCCATTTTGATATTTATTAAATGGTAACAATTTTATTTTTGAAAAAATATCTTAATAAGTTAGAGAAAAAAATGATATTTAATGTTTTTTTTTTGTCTAAACTCTTATGTAATATAAGACTTTTTTACATATAAACCATTAATCTATATTTTTCATTATATGTCTTTTTTCTCTCTAAAATATCTTTTACTAATCGTTATTATAAAAAAAAATTCTACCCTAATTCTTTATTATCTTATTTTTCCTTTTCATTTTCAAAGAAGAAAAGTAATTTGGGTAAGCATATTTTTCCCACAAGGATACAATTTTTCTTTTTTCCCTTCTATTCAACCGTGCCAAGTAACAGCTAAGTGCTTGAAATTAAAATTTTGATCACCATAATTGTGAGTTTCAAATTATAAATAACTAGAATTGTGTGTTTTGGGAGGAGAATTTTCATCTGGCTTCTTTCTCTAAAATCCACCTGTCATTCTTAAACTTGTCTCTTTCATTAGATTTTTTAAAATGAAAAATCATCCTGAGCAAGCAGTAATGAATTTAATTTGAAAACAATAATGACTTGTTAAGTTTACAAATATATTTTTTTTATTTTTATGTCCTATTTCCACAAGTAATATATATTGAAAATGTCATACTTTTTCATTTAAGTTTTATATAAAAATAATAAAAGTAACTAAATATTCTCATCAATATTCTTATACAAATATTTAAAATAAGAAGAAAATAAAAATAATAATGTAACATTTTTATAGTTACTTGTACAACAAGAAATGAAAACAACTTTTTTCTCTTAAATCAAATGGGTCTTTAATGGATTTTAGTACACTAATCGATCTAGTTCGAATAGATGTAAGATCCGTGAACCTTCTCTTCCCCTTCTCTTCCTTTTCCTTGCCTAACCCTCGTTCCCTACTCACTCTCTCTTTTTCCTTCCTTGCTGATTCTAGGTAGTGGTGAAAACAATCTGGATTCCTAGTTGTTGTGCAGAGCCTCCTTTTCTCCCCTACGGTTATTCAAGTTCTTTCCTTCTTCACTCTAGTTCTCCTATTCTCGGAAACTCGGAAGACTTTGCTCAAGGTAAGGGAAGTTAGTATAGTTGGGCTTTTTGAATGAGAATCATTGTTGTTTGTTTTTCAGTTGTTGAGATGGATGATAGTTGCTGATCTTGTGAGAAATTTCTGAAAATCTGAAATTTTGAGTTTTGGGGGACTTGGGCAAAATCTTGGCTTTTTGATGAATTTGATGTTGCATGTTGAAAAAAATGGTGTTTTTGGACTCTAGAATGAAAAAGTAGTCTTTGGAACCGATTGCATGTGGAATTTGCTGATTATTTTGCAGGTTGTGGAAGAAATTTCGAAAATATGTGGTTTGCTGATGAATTCGCGCTGGGCGCAGTTCTTCGCGCCGGGCGCGTGGTCATCAGAGGATGGCATTTTGGTAGGCCGCTAGGCGCAGGGATGTGTGCGCTGGGCGGACTTGGCAATGTTAACCTCTGGATGACCCACGCCGGGCGAGAAACAAGCCGCGCCAGGCGCGATATCAGTAGCAGACTGACCTTGGGGTCTTCTGGTTGGCGCTAAGCGCGATTTTTGCCGCCCTCGGCGCAGGGAATACTGGGAGTCTCTGCCAAGGGAGGCGCTGGGCGCAATTCAAATTGCGCCGGGCACGAGACCAAGGGAGGTCTCTGTTTTCCCCGCGCTGGGCGTGAGTTTGGGTGCGCCGGGCGCGGAAAACTATTGGGAGTCTCTGTTTGGCTGGCGCTGGGCGCAATTATTTATTGCGCCAAGCGAGAGAGAGCCTTGAGCCCTCTGGGTGAGTCTCGCCGGGCGCAGACAGGCTTGCGCCGGGCGAGATGGCCTTCTGGTGCATTTTGGTTGTACTGCGCTGGGCGCGACTAAGAGCGCGCCAGGCGCCTCAGTGAGGTTGTGTTATTCACTGTAAAATGTTGATTTATGTCAAGTTGATTCGAAATAGATGAATACCATAGTAGATAAAAATGATTGATGATGTTGGGATATATATATATAGTGGAGTATTGTTGTTAGATGTTATGTGAGTTGTATCAGTTGTGAAATGTTGTAAGTTTGATTTGTTAAGATGAAAGGTTGTGTTGCTCTGTGTGTGTTGCTTTTGTATGTTGTAGGCCGAAAGGCTGAGGAGTTGTAGGCCGAAAGGCTGAGGTGTTGTAAGCCGAAAGGCTGAGGTGTTGTAGGAGATCTCCGAGGTGATATGCGTGACGACGCATTTTGTGTGTACTGGTAGATTTTGTGTAGAAAGATTTGGTGTGGAAATAATTGACTGATTATGCACTGATAAATTATTGATAGTAAAAATCTCTATTACTGTTTAAATTCTTCCATATGCTGAGATTTTATATACACTAGCTTACCCTTGTTATTTTTCCTTGTGGTTTGGACTGCAATGATCATACTTTGTATGGGAGCAGAACAGGGATAGGTTGTGACTGGTTGTGAAGCTGTAGCTGACTGATGGAGCTGATCTTTTTGGAATGTTTGTCTTTTGTTGTTTAGCTACTTATTGTAGTAACTGAATTGATGTATCTTTTTGTACACTTTAACTCTAGTCAGACTAGAACTTTGTATATTTATATATTCTAGATCCTATATTTATATACTTGTTCTATCTGCCTGGTGTTTCTAGTGTACGGTGCCGTGTGTAGTGACCAGTCGGGTCGTTACAATAAAGGTTGTGTTGCTTTGTGTGTGTTGCTTTTGTATGTTGTAGGCCGAAAGGCTGAGGAGTTGTAGGCCGAAAGGCTGAGGTGTTGTAGGCCGAAAGGCTGAGGTGTTGTAGGAGATCTCCGAGGTGATATGCGTGACGACGCATTTTGTGTGTACTGGTAGATTTTGTGTAGAAAGATTTGGTGTGGAAATAATTGACTGATTATGCACTGATAAATTATTGATAGTAAAAATCTCTATTACTGTTTAAATTCTTCCATATGCTGAGATTTTATATACACTAGCTTACCCTTGTTATTTTTCCTTGTGGTTTGGACTGCAATGATCATACTTTGTATGGGAGCAGAACAGGGATAGGTGGTGACTGGTTGTGAAGCTGTAGCTGACTGATGGAGCTGATCTTTTTGGAATGTTTGTCTTTTGTTGTTTAGCTACTTATTGTAGTAACTGAATTGATGTATCTTTTTGTACACTTTAACTCTAGTCAGACTAGAACTTTGTATATTTATATATTCTAGATCCTATATTTATATACTTGTTCTATCTGCCTGGTGTTTCTAGTGTACGGTACCGTGTGTAGTGACCAGTCGGGTCGTTACAATAGACCTACAAATAAATAAGTTAGATTGTAGTGAATAACAAAATAAATAAATTTATAAAATAAGTGCTTCATAATCATCTTGCATAACTCCAAGGCTAGCATTTGAATCCAAATAAAGTATTTTTGAAATATGTAAAAAAAAAAATTAAAGTCAACTAAAAATGTCAAATTTCACTATTAGTTAAGTAATGACAAAATCTATAAAAAAAAAAAAACTATCCATCAATTATCTAAACACTTAATAAAATATTAAAGACTCAATATCTTCTACATCAATTAACAATAAATATTCAAATATTTTATATATAACAACCAAACATTCAATATCTAAAATTTGATTAGTTAAAACACATTAGGTTTCATTTACAAATTTTGCAAATAAGCAATTTTTTTTTAAAAAAATACGTGGGTGTTTGGGTCACAAACTTTCAATCAAATTGCTTTAACTAGCAAGTTAAGCGAGCTAACATGTATAATTTCACATTTTTAATTTTGATAAATGTCACCGGGTCGGGTAGGTTGCGGGTTTAAACAAGTCAGGTTGCACATCAATGCCTATATACATACATACCTCTAGTCTTTATATTATGAATGCATAAGTACTCATTTTCTCTTTCTTTTTTCTGCCCATGAAAAACAAGGTAGCAATTGTTTGAGATTTATTTATTTAATTATATTTATTCAAATAAATATTGTTGAATTGTAAATAAAATAATTTTGAAATAGTAGTCTCTTGATAATTTTTTAAGTGTCTTTTAATATTTTTATACATGAACTAAAGAAATACAATTGATTTTCCTGTTCTTAATAAAATAGTTATCAAAAATCTTGTTATACTATATTTTTTTATTCCACAACCATTGCATTTTTTTTTTCGTTTCCATTTTTATGATAAATTAAAAATTAAGTGAAGAGTAAAGATAATTGACAGAAAAATGATGTTACCTTCAACTTTGAAAATAATAACAAATATATATTTAAAAACACAACATTTAGAAAAAAAATTAATAGATTTTTCTTGATAATATAATAGTAATATAAGCAATAATGGTGACAACAACGATAATGATAACAATAGTAATAGTAATGATAATTGTTATGATTATCATCATTACCATTATCGTCATCATTATCGTTAATACTAGTAGTGTTGAGAGGAGAGGAGTGATAGGGGTGCATGGTGAGATTTATGGTGGTGGTAACAATGATAAAGACAATTATATTTGTGATTTTAAATGTTTAATTTAAGTCATCAATATATTTTGTGGTTGAAATTAATCACTCTTATTATCACATAAAAATGTTATTCTCACATAATACACGCACACACTCTCATAAGGAGTGAGAGTGACTCTAATAAGAACACTTGCTTATATGAAAATTTGATAACAACTCTTATATTAAAGATTAAAAATAATAAACCATATTATGATTAAAATCTTATTAAAAATACTTCTTATGAGACTATTAATTTTATTATTATTATTATTGTTATTATTGTTACTATAATTATTGTCTTCAATATCATCACTTTCACAACTTTTTTTATTGTCACCTTAAACATCGCCTTATGAGAGAATATAAGAGTTTTTTTTTTTTATCAATAAGTGAGTTTAAGAGTAAAGATTAATCAATATTATTCTCACATTAAAATATTATTTTTCATATGATATATCCCACATATATTTATGTTCTCTAATAAATTCAGTAATATTCTAATAAAATTATCAAAATGTAAAATTAAATACACTATAGATTTAACTTAAAGTATTAGGGCTTGTGTGACATCTATTTTTTAATGTTTGTCTTTTTATTTTAAAACAAAATAAAATTTAATTGTTTTTTAAAACAAGTTTCAAAATCCTATCTTTTTTTATAAAAAAAAATTGACATTGTCAATGTAAAAAAAGAAAAAACTATCGGTTAATTAATAAGTTTAAGTAATTATTATAAAAATAAAAAAAATCTTTAAATATAATGAAACTAGATTACATTACAAAAAAAAATATTGATATTGCTCAAACATATATTATTCAATTTTTAAAAAATAAAAGTTTAAGATGATTTTAAGTAATAAAAAAATAAGACGATGTGCTAATAGGTTGAGGTAAGGATGGTAAAATAGGATAGTCCGTCATTGACTCGCTAGACAAAAATAGGTTAGAAACCTTAACTTGTCGTACCTAAGAATGACTTGATTGATCGACTCGTCAAAAAATAAAAATAAAAATAAAAATTGTGTATTTGTTTTGAGTCACTCTTTAAATATATACTTTTTTTCTCAATATATAAAGGACTTATAATAATCAATATAACTAAATAATAAAAAAAATCTCAATTACTACTAATTTAATTTAATTTGATTTGATGCACAACAAATATCAAATTTATTTCATAACAAAACATATATGTAATTATAATAATATTCATAATTCTTATATAAATTTATTGCATAACAAATATCAAATTATATATAATAAAATAAATAAAATGTACAACAAATCATATATTATATATAAAATAAATATGAAATGACTTAATTAAAGTTATATTAAAAATAATAAATAAATAAATATTAAAAAATTAGGCGGGTCGACGAATCGATTCATCATTTGGTCCAACAAGCTGACAAATTAGCTATCCTAATCTCGGCTTGCCAATTTTTAACAAACTTGTAAGTTATGATTTGTTTTGCCATTCCTTTTCTTTTAAAAAAATAGTTTTTTTTTAAATCCTTTTCTTTTTTAAAATGTTTTTTTTTAATTTATTTGCAAAATAAATTTGAAAAATGAGTTTAATTTCTATATCTTGATATTATAAAAAAAATTTATATATAAAACCAATAAAAAATCAAGATATGTATAATTTTTATAAAAGTCAATAAAGTTATTATAAATGTTAATTTGTCATCATATGATAATATAAAATGAAATTAGTAATGTCATTACATTGATTATATTTTCTTTGGAAAAAAACTGTAACATATTCTAAGTAGTGATTAATTGTTTATGATGTGTGAATGAAATTAAGTTGTTGAGTTTTTCTTAAAAAATTATATTAGCGTACGGGTTGGGAGGTAACATATTGAATATTGAATAACTTGATAAACCATATCTCTAGCAATAGCATAATTTGGTTTGTACCGTTCCGTTGGGTTCCAATAAAACAAAAGCTATAAACACATCTTCTTCATGCCGTAAAAGCAAGTGGACCTTTGTGAAAAGAGGCAAAGAAACAAACAAGTGGAGCTCAAAATTTTAAAAGCTAAAGTGGACCCCTATATATCATCCCTTCCAACAAATCTAAAATTATGCCCTGTTTTTCTATTGAAAATCAATTCAATCCACAACCATTATCATCCAATTAACGTGGATCAAGATTCAACACCAATCTTTCATTTAATATTGATCCACCCGTCTCTTGTTTTCTTTCCAACAACACATGCAACTGCATATAGTTAATATGTAATATCAATATTATTTGTGTTAATAACTTCATGCTCATCTTGATTAAATGATAAACACAAATTTATATATTCTTGTGTTAATTAATCGAATTTGTATAACCACAGAAATATCTTATGGAGTGAGGAAGATATATAGTTGAATGTGGGACATGTTGAAGAATATATATAAATATATCATGTATATATGGAGCAAAAGTCGCATTCACCCCAGATGGATTTTTTTTTTTAATCTTTTCCTGTTTAATTTTTCTAGAGTATTTTGATTTTGATTTAGATTTAGATTCTTACTTCCCTCTTTAGGTGGGCATACAGAAGCACGAGTCTGCCATCAACAGCAGTATCATAAAAAATGTTCATCAAGAATTTGCATAGATAATTAATTAAAGATGAGAAGAATCGTGTGAAAAAATATGGATTTTAATTTCCTACATTTTCTCTCTCAAGCCTAAAACTTAGAAAAACGAGTCCCATTAATAACGCTCACGCGTCAGACACACACATGCAAATAAGAACGAAGTGAAGAAAGAAAGAATAGCTCCCTCTCTTTTCTGTCCTTTTCATATGTATGATTCTTGCGCTTTTCTTGCTAGAATCAACACCCCATCTCACCTACACGTAACATGAAATCTACATGTACTTTTATTTCTTAACTTAGTTTATTTATTGTGTTAAAAGAATAATTAGTTATTTAATTAATACTATTTATTCTTAAAACAATTAAAAGAAGTTAGTGTAACACATTAAATATTAATTAATTAATTTCATGAAGGTGGGTATTTGTTAATGACAATACCCTTTGGGAGGGTACACGTGAAAGTATAAGACAGATTTACCATAAAGTTGAAAGTGGTTCTCTTTCTCTTCTAGGTTTCTTGATAGTGTTGGATGGAATCAGGAAAAACCTATCTCTTAAGTTCTCTGGTGTGTTTTCCTTGATTTTCGATAAGGTGGTCTTGAATAGCTTTAGTTTTGGAACGGTTCCAAATTCAAGTAGTTTGTACTAAAATTATTGTTGCGACACGTTTGGTTCAAGTCATTTTCTTGAAAACAAATAGGCAGCATAAGAGATGGGGAAGGGAAAATAAAACAAGGAAGAAAGAACAGAACCCAATATTTATTAGAATATGTGGATGCGGATGTGGTGGAATATCATACAAGCATAAAAACCTACCTTGAAGTCCTAAACGATTCCATGTGGGACTCTCTCATAACTAGTATTCAAAACTTTTTTCTTTACAGTTCATTTAATTCCTCTAGCTAAAGGGAGGAAAAAACAGAAATTGACCAAACTCCCATGCTGTTTGCGAAAGAATAAATTCAATGCATCCATCGACGTTTTATTCATGCATCTTCATTTCAATGGTGATATGATCCACCACTTTACATTATTCAAAACCTCCCAAAATAATGACTATTT